ATTGCCCTTCATCAAATAAGCACTTTAATGTATATGTAATATATAATGTTAAATTCTTTAAGGAATTTCATCCATCTTTCATAGTCATGACAACTTAAAATTCACAAATAAATCTTATCCAGCAGAAATACTTTCAGCCTTTTTTATAAGATAAAAATATTATTTAAAATTTTTGTGCTATAAAAAAGGCCAAAAACATTTGTTGAGTAAAGCAGTTTTGCTGAAAAAGAAAAGTTGTCATGAAAGTCCAAAAGACAAACTGATCCTGACTATTTATAATGCATTAATATGTTAATGATGATTGAAAGTTTTAAGGGTTCCTGAGGATGGATATGAATTTGAAAGCACTTGTATACAAATACTATTGTAACATAAAATTAAATGCTTTAATGGAATGGTTTATTTTTATACTCTAGATTATTTTTGTCTTAGTATTTCTATTCCTTTAGATAATAATTAAGTTACATATATAGTAAAAAATTTATTAAAACTTTACAGGCATCCTAACTTGGTGAACTATGTGGATAGTTATCTCGTAAAAAATGAACTTTGGGTAATAATGGAATATTTAGAAGGTGGTGCATTGACTGATGTTGTGACGGAAACTGTCATGGGAGAGGGACAGATGGCTGCCATTTGTCGAGAAACATTAAAGGCAATGTTATTTCTTCATTCCAAAGGAATCATTCATCGTGACATTAAAAGTGACAATGTATTATTGGGCATGGACGGCAAGGTAAAAATTACAGATTTTGGCTTCTGTGCTCAAATTTCTCGTGACGAAAAACGTGATACCATGGTGGGAACACCCTATTGGATGGCACCAGAGGTAGTAACCAGAAAGCAATATGGAAATAAAGTTGATATTTGGAGTTTAGGAATCATGGTTATTGAAATGACTGAAGGAGAACCTCCATATCTTACAGAAGCACCATTAAAAGCACTTTATCTGATTGCCACTAACGGTCAACCAGAAATAAAAAGGAAAAACAAATCAGCCGAACTCACTTCATTTCTTGAACGATGTCTAGAAGTGGACGTAAATGAAAGAGCTACGGCCGAAGAGTTGCTTAATCATCCATTTCTCCAGAAGGCCGAAAGCTTATCAACTCTCGTACCATTTATCAAAGCAGCAAAAAAGCTATTAAATAAGCAATAAGAATTTGTTAATTAAATGATTTATAAAAAAAAAAAAAACAGTTAAGTCCATAATAATTTGAATGTATTATCAAAAGTTTTTTCTTTTTTAATATATTTTATGTACTTAAATGTGATCATGTTATCGGGTGAGAAAAGATAAATGAAGATAATTGAACTCATCAAATTTTAAATGCAAACTATACTAGTCAATTTGCATATAAAATTTTGTATATATCGTGTTTCTAACATGAACGTCCCAAAAACATTTTGAGCTCAGTATTTAGTTAGATAATTGTCATTCTATATTAAGAGTATTGATATAAAATCATTTTATACATTTGATACTACATTTTTATGAATTTGTAAATTTTTAGATTTGATAAATGCAAATTTCTTTCTAAGTAGTTTTTGAAAATAACATCTTTTATATAAAAAATGTAATAATAGACAATATCTTCGATTTATTATATGTAGATTATTATGAAAGCATTTAAAACATTTCCATAAATAACAGGATTATGGGCCCGTTGCCTGGTAAAGCTGCTTAAAGTGGCTTTATTAAAAGACAATTTAGCAACTTCTGCTTCAAGTTTGCCACTAAGTGTTAGCACAGAGAAGTTGAGAAGTGCCAAAGACAGAATTTAAGATAACTGCCATAAATGGTAAAATTTTTAGATGGGAATATGTATGCCATTGGCTGCTTTAATTATTATAATTTTTTATAACATCAGATACAAGCTGCAGGAACTGATGCAAAATTAACTAAAGTTTTACCAGGCAATGCAACCCTATATTATCGTATTAATATAGTGTAAAAATGCAATTCTATAAACAAATGAATTGTTTGCCATTTCAATATGGATAGAAATACCAAAATGTTTCTCTATGCAAATTGAAATGATTGAGAAGTGCAAAATAATTTTTGATTGTAGTAGTAGTAATAATTAGAAAATACTGCTTATTAGTTTAAGTCAAATATTTTTAAATTTACAATTGAAAACCAAAGTTTTTATTAAAAGAAATTGACTCTAAATTATACAGAACTTCCATAAATATTCAATTCCTAATACATGCATGATGCAGTATTAGTTTTAAATTTGCTAACAATATAATCAAGAATTTCATTTTAATAATAAAAAATACAACAAATTTATTTTTTATTATTATTACATTTTTAATGTAATTATTGATATCTTTTAATCTCCACGTAAGTATTCTATTTTTTTAATTGCATTTCTACGAAATATTTTTATAGAAATCAAACATTTTTTTATTTAAAAAAATCTTGTTCTATGCAAAGTTCTTAATTATTTAAAAAAAAAATGAAATATATTGTATATCTTGTATGTATTTATTCACAATAAAAATGTTACATTTTAAATAGTTGATTTTGTTTTCTATTATATTCAGAGATAAATTATTCAGTTTAAGCTGAGAATCAAATTTAGTAAAATACAAAATTCTCTGTTGTTAAGTTCATTATAATTGTATCTGCAAATGCAGCTTACTAGTCAGATATTTGACATATTTAATGACTAAAGTGTTGTTCTTTTTATGATCATTAAGGATTTAAAAATACACAAAGTTAACAAATAAATAAAATTTCAATATGTGATAGTAATTCACATGAATTTACATACAAACTACTTGAAGATTTGAAAATGAACATGTTCATTTTCAAAAGATCAAAAGAAATAAGTGGAGATTATTTTTTGTATGTCCTGCTAAACCACAAAATTACCACCACTTGCATACGCTAAATTATTTATAACTTGGCTGTGTCCATATCTTGTACTGGACACATTTAAGTTATAATAAAACTTATTATGAAGGTATAGGATTTCATCTGCTAACTTCAAACTTACTTTATAGATATCTATAAGAGATTTCTATAAAAATGATTTTACTGTGTTAAGTTTTCAATTTTTAAAATATTGAATCACAGGTATTCCTCATATAACAGTTAATTATTGATTTCAAAAAAGACTAATATATTTTTGCTAACTTCTGGAATGTAATTACCAACAGTTAAAAGTATTGTATGATGCATTAATATTAATTTTAGTTAAATGAGGGTAACTTTTCAAGCCATATAACTGTTCTGTGATTGTGTAAAAGGATAAGAACAGACTCGGAAAATGTTTTAAATTTTGTAAATAGTCTGTCTTCAAATTAAATGAGGGTGTTTTCTGTTTACAAAGTATTGTCATCATCTGATCTTTTTTGTTGATCTTGTTCAGAATAGCAACATCATCATTTTTTTATTTTTATCATAATTTTTTTATGGATGAGAAATTAAAATAAAAAAATGTTCTGGAGGATCATGTTTGTTCAATCAAGTACTGAGAAATTTTTCTTCCAGAATTTGATTATTTCATCCATAAAAATGAAGAATGAAATACCATTAGTATTCAAACTGTTCTCAACTTTTACTCAATCGTCATTTCATTCATAGGTAAGTAATACCTGATTAAAAAAGTTTATTTAAACTTTACTAAATACAAATCACTGTGACAGTTAAGAGCTAAAGTCTGAAAGCAATAACAATGACACCTGGCTGACAGGAAAGTTAGGAAGAAAAAAATTGCACTATCAGTTTTCATTAAAATTAAAGTAACCCTGACAAAGCACAAAATAATTTGAAAATTTCAATATTCTAAAATCCATGGGCAAATTTGAGACAACATGCACGCTTACTTTAAACTTTATTATTCAATATTTATTATTATTACACTTAAAAACTGAAATTTTGTATGGAGGATTTCCAAAACTGTGTTAGATTAAAACTGGAAGTGGTGTTTTATGGGAATATTCCCAATTTTCAAACAGTGTTGTAGAAGTACACGTATACCTCACCTTACGTTGGTAATTGGTTCCAGGAGAACAATTTAAGTGGAAAAACGACGTAAGTCGAATTTACTTGTCTCCGAATCTACTTGCCACTATGCTAAACCATAAATTACCAATTCCCATTCTGTATTTTATTTATTAATGCATTTTTAATAATATATGGTTAATAAGGATCTATTTTAAGCTTACAAACAAACAAATTTTAGTTTTTAATATAGTACAGAAAAAAGTAATTTAAATTTACGAATGCATGTACTATAAATACAGTATATACTTGTAAATGTATATATAATATGATTTTATGTGCTTTAAACATTTTTCTAGTGATATTACGACTTCAATATTTGTGGCGGACAGACGTAAAGTCGAATAAAATGACTTAAACTTGATTTTTATTTTTCCATATACTTTTTTGACAAACGACGTATAATTGGGAAAAACATAAGTTGAGGTATACCTGTACTGTGCTGTACGAGGAATACCTGTGTGAGAATCGGAATTATATTTCTCACACTAATCAAGTAATAAATCTAGTTTTTTCATATTGTTTACAAAAAAGGAAGAGACAGCTGTCACTTTTTTGTCAAAAAAGGAAATTAACTTTCCTTTCACACGTTCTTATTGCTAATCTTGACATCTAGATATCTACATCCCGTTAGCAGATCTGAATCCAGGATTTTTATTGGTCAGAAAATTTGATAAAAAGGGCAATTTCCCCTGATTCGGAGTTCTCTGATCATTTCATCTTGTGCTCCAAACCACAAGTCTCTCGAAGGAAGATTTACCTTGTGCATCCAACAGTTCCCGCTTCGCTCATCATCTTCCTTCTCAAATTTCACCACTGTCAGTCTACAATATCATCACTCTGTATCTAGCACCAAAGACTGCTAACCCGATCTACTGTCGAGGTAGTATAAATTTTATTTGATGTAAACTCTCTCTCTAACACGGTTAGATAGGGATCTAATATCTCTTGTAATTCACTAACTTTGATTAAAAACTATATTGCTACTAAATGATTATTTTATTGATTATAATTTGATTTCCATTATAAAAACAGCTCTTGTCCTAATGCTATGGCATTTTATCAAATTTATATAAATATTATCAAATAAATACTTTCAGGTACCTGATATTTATCATCATATAGATATGAGGGTCATTCAATAAGTCCTTAGAAAATCCAATAGATGGCGCTCGTAGCCTCAAAAATGGCACGTTTTTTGTAAGCATCATGTCTCACTAGACAGTTGTGAAAGTCTCAGTCATATCCATGAAATGGTTTAATTTTTATTTTCGATTGAAGCAAGAAACTTTTGTTTATTTAGAAAAATGGAAAAAAGTGAGTTTTGAGCAGTGATTAAACACTTATATTTAAAAGACTTAACACCGAAAGAGATCAAAGCTGAGTTGGATGAAGTTCGTGGCATATCTGCTCCTGTGTTTGCAACTGTTTACAATTGGGTAAATGAGTTCAAACGTGGTCGTACATCCACAAAAGATGAACATGGTTTGCGACGTCCAGTGGAAGTGACTACTCCTGAAATGATTGACAAAATTCACGATATGGTTTTGAGTGATCGACGAATCAAAGTGCGTGAAATAGTTGAGGCCACAGGCATATCACAAGGTACAGTGTTTTCAATTTTGCACGAAAAATTGGGTGTGAAAAAAATCTCGGCAAGATGGGTGCCACGTTTGCTCTAAGTGGAGAATAAACATAATCGTGTGGCCGACTCTGAGGATATTTTGGCACTTTTTCGTCGCAATCCTGACAAGTTTCTGCGTCGATACATAACTGTGGACAAAACAATGGATACATTATTATACTCCAGAGAACAGTCAAAACAGTGAGTTTTTGAAAGTGAAAGGGCTCCAAAGAAGGCAAAGACAGTGAAATCGGCCGGGAAGGTGATGGCCACAGTTTTTTGGGATACATGCGGAATTATCTACACTGATTACTTGGAAAAAAGAAAACAATAACTGGAGAGTATTATGCATCGTTATTGCACCGGTTGAGCGAAGAAATCAAGGAAAAATGTCCTCATTCGAAAAAAAAAAAAAGATCCTCTTCCATCAAGACAATGCACGGGTGCACACCTGTGCAGTTTCGATGGACAAAATCACATAATTAAAATTTGAATTATTACCACATCCACTGTATTCGGCCCCCAGTGACTTTTTTTCATTTCCAAACTTAAAAAAAT